AAGTCTGGGCTGTACATTGAATGGTGTCTCTCGAAATCATTAAGGTGCATGGGCTGTACATCGAATGATGTCTCTGCTCGTTTCTGAGGCCCAACAGGTGGCTGTACATTGAGCGACGAAATCGTTAATTGGCATATAATGGCGCTTTTAGTTGGCCTGTAATAGAACCACCCTGGGGGGAGTTTCTAAGGCGCATGTCTGGACTGTGCATCGAATGATGTCTCTGCTTGAAATCGTTAATTTATACTGGGGGCTGGAAGCGGAATTGGCATATAAAGGCGCTCTTAGTTGGCCTATCACAGAATCCTCATTCTATATACTACTTCATGGCAGGGTAATAGTAATATACTGAGGGAAACAAATAAGGGAACAAAACTTCATTGCAGTGTTCCTTTCTTTATTCTCAGATTTTCCCCCAAAGCGCGTTTCAAAGCTTGTGAAGAAACTTGGAAAAGAATAATAGAACGCTTATACTTTCATGTGTTCCCTTATTTGTTTCCCCTGAGTATATGTCCTGTGGACATACTGACAATACTGATGGTCCTGTTGCAAGACATATACTATTCAAAAAAAGAAACGCATAACCCAGAAATCTTTTGCGAAAATGTTGTATTTTTCAAACATGTATAACTCGTCCACAAATAGACTGTACATCAGTTTAGAAGAAGGAAATGTCTATACGGGGACGGTCATTTGTTATATCTGTTTGGTAGTAAGGAGCTGCGAATCGTGATACCGTGCTCAGACTAACATGCAGACGCCTGACAACAGAAGATTGGTAATTTCCAGCGTGGATTCTTTCAATGGCGATGTTGCGTGTCGCAGCGTAACTTGACGTAGCGTAGCCATTTGACCTTGAAGCTCCTTCAAAACGAATGCCGATTTCCGAAAGTAATCTGGATTTTATAGCCAGACAGTGCATGCTCTTTGCTGCACAATTTCAACTGGAAGTTGATTGCTGTTGCGTTGTGACGAGGCCATTTTAATCATTGTAAGAAATCTCATCAAAATCAACATTTTCAGGTAAAGTCGATTTTATACTTGTGCAATTGTATAAAATCATGTTATCAACACTTTTGTTACATATTTTGACGATTGACTGAACACAATCGGTAATTAATAGATTTTAAAAAAAATACAAAACGCCTATGCGTTTCTTTTTTGGATAGTATATATTGGTTGTTCTGATCATTGCCTGATGTGACCACTGTTACCTCCGCTCTGTTGTCGCACCTCAGACTGTGGAATTATCATCTTTCTTCTCGCATTGGTATATTGGGCGGCAAACATACTAGCTGGAAAAACATAAAGAGTAGCTCTCCTCGTGTACAACACAAACATGTTTCACAATTGAATATTATACTCTGATATCTATTCCAACAGAGGTTGTTGATGCATATTGTATACCTGCAGTCTGAGTATAAATAAAGTTCAGTTAAGTTAACCAATTGTCGTTGACGTTGTTTGCGTTGCTGATGTCTGTGGTGTAAGTTCACATTGACGTATACGTCTCTCACGTTTATATCACAGATAATCAGTCTTAGCTTATTCAGATCTACAGATACGGAAGGAACGGAGCGATCTCACGGAGTTGACGTATGATGTTTGAACTTCAAGGAAGTCAATAGTGACACCGTCTGAACGTGGTGTAGAGTTGCTTGTTAAAACAAACCCTTCTGTCGACTGATAATCGGAAGAAGGTGAGGAAAAGAATCTATTCGATGTAACGCTATGTTGTCAGATTCCCCTCAACCATCATTTCCGTGTGAAGAATATTGCTCCTCATACCATTACACTTCTACCACTAAATTTGTCGACCCGTCGAACGCGGTTTGGCGGTACGTTTCGATGTTGGGGATTTATCACTGAACCAGCTACTTTTTCATAACGTGTTGAGATATCACTCTGAGTACAGACTAGCAACAACTCCAAAATGGTCAACAACCCGAACTATTTTTAAAGACATGACAAATGAATATCTGTGAAAATTTTAAGTATTATTGGCAAATAATCAATTATCGGTAAATAATCAAGCCTTGACAAGACAGGTATTTACATGAGAACCATCAATGATCAGGTATAACGTGTCTTTTAATCTACGTAGTGAAGGAACCGAGTTTGAGCGAACGAGAAACCCAAAAATATTTTAAAAGGCAAAGACTTTGTGACATGGTACTTTTTCATTAGTATCCTTGTGAATGAATTTTTGAACCAAGTTAAGAGTGTGCTAAAATGGTCAAGGAAACACGACCAAGCAGCTGTTGTTATTGTTGTTGTTGTTGTTGTTGTTGTTGTTGTTTGTAGTTGTTGTTTTTCGAAGGTTCACTTTAAAGACAGACGCTTTTCATTTTCAGGCAATGCAATCTTAAGAAGTGCAGAAAACATCTTTATTCATTCATTCATAACAGTGATTTATTTATTCTTTTATTCATTCTTCTTTAACACCATCGACAAGCAATGGCTCGGGGAATATACCTGATCGGGGAGCTGTAGGTATGCTTCAGTCTGGTACATCGCTGGGTGACGTTGCTCGTCGATTCAGCGTCTTTAGAAATACCATTTGGCACTTATGGCGACGTTTTCAGTAAACCAATCAAGCCAGATCGCCCCTGTAGTGGCCGCCCATCAGTAACAACCGCACACACATGGATTCGAACCACGCACCTCCGACACAGGTTCCTGGCATCAATCCGTGCAGCTCGTACCATAGCTGGCAACAGAGGTGTACCTGCAAGAACAGTTTCGACGACGTCTACGACATCCGCGCAAGACGCCCAGCACGACGGCCTATTCCGACGTCAGACGTCTCCATTAGACCGGACAATACTTGTGATAGGGAGCAGGTGAATGGAGAATTGTTGTCTTCACCAACGAGTCACTCGTCATTCTTCACCTTAACGATTGTACAGGTGAACGTTACAACAGATCGTGTTCTCGAAGAGGATCGTTTTGGGGTTGGGACGTTATGATCTAAGGTGGGATAACAGCGTCAGCAAGGACGCCAATGATTTAGTTGATTGAGGGGAACTTAAATACTGTGAGGCACTGTTTTATCGGGGTTTCTTTGCAACAGAAAGGCCCTGGATTGACATTTCAACACGATAACGCCTCACGTTGCTCGAGCTATACAGAACAGAATCGGAACAGTGTTAATGTGTTAACCTGCAAGATCCCCTGATTCCCCACCCATTAAACATGTCTGGGATGAAGTGGAGCGACGTTTACGAGGCCATCCGAATCCTCCCACCACGCTGCATGGACAGCCATCTTCTACCTCGGACATGGAAAACTCTTCCTGAGGACTTTCATCTATGTTTAGTGACCTCAATCAGGCGAATATGAAAGACCTGCATCAATGCACAAGGTGGACACACTCGGTACTGACCGTGTGGTAAGTTCGTGTACCCCCTAGCTTCTTGCGTTGTGACATGGTGCGCTGTTATTATGGGCAGTTGACCGTTACCATACTCTTCAACATTTGTCTTTCCGTTTCATTTGCCGCAGAGAAATTTTGCATTTTGACTGTTGTCTGGTTTTGGTTTGTTGATTGTATGTCACACAAACGCGTTTGGCTTTTTGACACACGGACAATGATCATTCTAATTCTCTTGGTTAGGAACCTTCATAAGAACTTTCGTCGCCTTGAACTGTCGTCACGCCGTTTTCAAACATGCTACGTTACGCCGGATGAAACTATAAACCTCGCATATGTGGATACGTACGTTTGTTTTGGGTGTTTGTCCTTTTTTGTGAACTCTATCTAACATCAGCGCCACCAGTATTGTTTTTGAATGGCCGATTAAGACTGATTGCCGTATTACGAGAGTCCAAGCTTACGAAGAACATTAAGGTGGGAATCCACATTATTATGGCTTCTGTAGAATAAGGGAATGTCTCTTCTCCCAACTGTGGAAGCGATGCACTCCAAGACCTATATTTCCTGCAAACCTTCATTAACTGGCTCAGTGGTCTTCATGTAACCATTAGCGAGATGCAGCCATTCGCAACCAGAATACGCCTTGATGTTGTGATTATTAATCAATGTTCTCCTCGTATGTATATAGGATGTATTGCAATACATTCATTGCGTCACATACCAACATGGGGGTCGGGTGTCAGTTGTAGCTGCCTTGATCATTTCGAATCAATAAGGAATTCGTACCAGGAACAGAAGTAGTACTCATGATCAAGGCTCTACATCAGGCAGCTAATTGCAACAAGAATTTGTTATCCGTAAAGATTTGTTTCATCATATTTTATACGTCCAGGATAAACAAATTTAACTTATTCATACTGTAAACCCGTGAAGGTCCGGGTTAGAATATCTTCAGTAACCCATGCTTGGCGACTAACGGGATCGGGTGGTCAGGCTCACTGACGTGGTTGACACATGTCATCAGTTCCCAATTGCGCAGATCGATGCTCATGCTGTTGATCACTGGATTGTCTGGTTCAGACTCGATTATTTACAGACCGCCGCCATATAGATGGGATATTGCTGAGTGCGGCGTAAAACTAAACTCACTCGATATTCAAACTGTAACAAACGAAACCAGTATACCATCTAATATATCGAATTGTATTGACAGAGGACAAAACACAAATGAAGAAACTTTCATCAACACGTCAACTATGATATTAATAATACCAAACGCTAAATCTATCTGTTTGGTTTAACAGGACTGACGACTATTTCAGTTATATCGGGGCGTGTCAGCTTGATGTTGGAGGTTGCTCAAACAGCGCAGGTATGGTTCAGACAAACAAACTTGCTATCTGGTACAATTATGGATAGCAGGTTTTCAAAGTATTGACCTACTTTTAATTTTTTTCGTAGTGATGCGGTAATGAATATAGACACATTCCTAATCCTGGGGGATCGGTCAGGAAGCAGAACACATTGATAACATTAATGGATAATCGATAATTTATTGATAAATATACGAACAACGAAACTTCTGCTTCCCCTTTGATCCGACATGAAGAACTGTGGCCTAAATATCGATACCAAAAGTGATTTCTATTTATGTCGAGTATATAGGTTATTGAAAGTCGTTCAGCTATAACACACATTCGAGACGGACCTCCAGTGAGTATGGCAGTGTATCGTCTCCTGTCAGTGTACATCGCAATAGCATGTTGCAATGCTTGTTTAAAAGTAGAGTTCTTGGTTGACAAAGTCATGGTGGACAAGACAAGTAATAGTGACCTTCAGGCCATGTTGAGTGGCATCTCCACTAATAACGAGTGTGGCATCAAGTGTATGGAGACAACAGGCTGCATGTCTTTCTTCTACAACCAAGCTGATGGCAACTGCAGGCTTCACTCCGCCATGTTCAAGTCTTCAGAGTCGTCTCTGGCAGCAACCCCTGGCTTTACCTACCGTAAACGTAAGTAGAAACGTAGTGGGTTGTTTTAACAGCGCTTTCAACTGTAGCCTAGTTACGTCACATATTACATCGGGACGAAAGTTAAAACTGGCATTTGTCGTATACCTGTTTGGTTCAACAAGGCACTGACAAGACAATGCTGAAGGTCAAAGCAGTGGACCTGTGTCCATGAATGCCAATATCACTAAGCTGTTCCAGCCCCGCTCTAGTGAGAATGAACGTCATGTTTTAAGTAAGCATTCGCGTGTTTTACTCCGATCAATGTATAATGAGTACAAAATTGGGAAAGCAGTTCTCAGAACACAATGTTTGGCTTGTAATATTGGGCTGATAATGCTCTAACAAAATATCTTTACAGCCTTTTGCCCTCCCCTTGCAAAGGATTTGATACCTAACGGGAAAACGGGAGTCTTCTCTGAGGGTGGTTTCCTGGTAGCACGTACGTCATGTGAAAGCGACGCCATCTTCGTTGGAACAGCTGACTCCGTGAAATGTGACGCCGATGGTTTTTTGGCCCGAGATGGGGTCATGCGCTTTAACCCGCTGGTCGAATCCGGTATGTCTCTCTATGTATATTTTTCTCGCCTAATCATAATCTGCTATACGGTTAAAATAATGTGGAGAAGTCCCAGGAATGCTGCCATGGAAACGTCAAAATGACGTGTGAAAAATTGGCGACATTGTGAACGGAAAGGGCCAAATCTAAACAGCGAGAGAAAGCAGGACGTGGCCATAACAAAATCAGCGACTATTTTAAATTCATTTTAGCAGAAGATGAATAATGGTAACGGACAAGTAGTATAGGAAAAAACACATCGGTATTGTAATGAACCGATATAGTGTTTACAGATTTGTTTACCGTTATGATATTATAGGGGCTATTGACATAACTTTTATTGAATTGAATTTTCAATTCTTTGTATAGACGTAGCTAGGATTCACAAGTCCTTATTAACAAATTTCTCTCCACAAATGTCGCCCATGGTCTATAAGTGTAAACCACAGATTCTCCCCTGTGGATCTTGCGGTGTCAGCGAACTCGCCTTTCAATTTTATGTACAGCATCAACACACAAACATGTTCGAATTTTCTCAGTCTAGTTGAACAACCGTCTCTGTTTTGTTTGTTCACAGTTACTGTTACCGTTAAAACGATCAATTGAGATCGATATTTCTAAGGATTTTCACAAATTAGCATTTTTACAAATCCCTCATTTTTTTCAAAATCAAACTATGCTTTCATTGTTTATTCTGAATTCATATTTCTAGTCGATGTCTCAGTACACTCGACATCGAAGGATTTTTGTTTCTTTTAGTACAGGTCAATGTTATCAAGCTATCCCGAAACCGCACACATTGGTGGACCAGATATATACACTTTTTCTTGTTACAGACACATTTATAAGATAAAACGAAAATTTCATGGAGATGAAATTAGTTGCAGAATGCACGTGAGAGTGACAATCGTGCAGTGACCATGACAAAGGTCACAAGTCAGTACGTTTCGTCACTCGTTTGTCGGCTGAATGCTGCCAATTACAATTTACGCCATATGACGCCTTGATGCTTAAGAGACCCAGTCTGCAGTTACACGTCATATTCCCAGAACACCACATCTCTTTTATTGGATCGGTGTACCAGCTTCGGTTCTACACAAGGCCGCCCGGGAGGCAGTACACCAAGAGTCACCACTCCTGCACCATCTGTACATCTCACGTCATTGAGACTGCAGGACATGTGCCTCGTGTAAGGAAGCTATCGGACAAGCATGAATCATCTGCCATGGCTGGGAATTACATCAAGAAGTCGGTGAGTTGTCCTTGTATTGAGACGTATCCAAAGACGACCACTTATGTGAATGAGCAACAGAGTAGAAGCATGGCGGCGAGCCCTCTTCAGTGATTAGTCACGGTGTCATCTATGTGGACTAACGTTGTCATGGTGAAATGTCAGTCCAGGGCCATACAGCTGCATGAATGGCAGGAGTGGGATCACAACTGTATCAGAGCCCGACACTGTATCGCAGAATGACACCTTGGGCGACAAAAAGTTGAGATCAGGTGGCACAGACTTTTCCCCAAACCATCAAGCTGACCCTGCAACAAATCGGTCCACGACGTCACAAACACAACAATGTGCGTGACGTCCCCATCTCCTGCATTACATCCGGGTCCTGTCATCGGCAAAGTTCAATGTAAAGCGTGAGTCGTCAATGAAGATAATCCTCTTCCACTGTCTTTGGTTGAGTTTGCATGTCCGGGGGCCTATCGTAAACGTTGTGTGCGATGTAATTGCGTCAGGATAGGTCGTGTGTTTGGTTTGTCAGTGGACGTTGGAGTCACAAATCCGTTGCGGAAATAAGTGTGCCTTTCGCCCAGGTCGATCTGCAACGGTGCCCCTCTCTTGCCACGGGTTTTCCGAAGGTGGGCTCATGCAACCGCTGCAAAGTACTGTCCGGCGTGAAGCCTGCCCATGACACTACCACGTTTCTGTTTTGTTTTTATACTGCATACTCGAACGCAAAGTGCAAAGTTGAACACATGATTGCACGGAATTGTCTTTCATGATTTTGCACGCTTTTTCACCAAAACCACGTTCTAAGAACCAACATGTTATTGCCATTTGTATGACACAGCAAGAAATAAAACAGAATCACCCCTTCATAATTATTACCAATAATGTGAGCGTCACGTTTATAATATTTGATTGTGTTGAGTATGTCTTGAAACCTGAACTTGTATTTCAGACAGTGCCCTTCAATGAATCAATCCCCTTCACTACCAAGTCTGGTACGGTGATTGAATTCATCGGCCGCTCCTTTGAAAAAGAGTAAGTCACCAAGAGTATGATAAAGCTGGTATTATGAGCCGAATTCTGTGCAGTTGGTAGAATGAGCGTAATTATAGCCAGTTTGTAATTATTATGATCATTATACGACCTTAACGATGCTGCTCTGAAACATCTGAAGGAACATAGGTCATATGTAATATCTTACTCGTGTCACTAGTGCATTATAAGGGTAGGTGCAGGAACCAGTATATATCAAGAAACACGTGGCAGCAATTTCACATCCCTGATTTGTGGAATCTGAGACAACGCCCTTTGAGCTTGCAAGTCTCAAGGAGAAGTTTGACTGTGTGGTAGCAAGGAATACGACTACTTTGCAAGTACTACCTTACCACATTCTTTGATATGAAATGTCCCAGGTTCCAGATTGAGATAGGCGCTGGCAGTGACATCGCGCTCTACATGAAGGCGAGTGAAGACGGCAGCCTGAACAGGGGATTCAAGACAAGCGCCAAGAACGAAAACGTCATCATTTCAACCTCGGCATTCTACAAACCTCCAAAGGACTTTAAATGCAGTCTGAAAATATCAAGCACCGAATTCACTGTAAGAATCCTCAAGAGTACGTAATATCAAAGAGAATGTGTTCTTTTAGTTTTCTGACTGCCTTCCTGGTCTAGGTTTACAGTGAGTGAGTGAGTGAGTAAGACGCTGGTTTTACGACGCTGTTAGCAATATTCCAGCAATATCACGTCGAGGGACACCAGAAATGGTCTTCACATATTACACCCATGTGGGAAATCGAACCCGGGTCTTCGGCGTGACGGGTAAACGCTTTAACCAATGTGCTACCTCACCGCCCCTCTAGGCTTATAGCGTTTAATAGATGGTAAGTGTAACCTTCTTGGCACTTAGGACTGGGGGAATTAATGGAGGACAGGTCTGCTCGGTGTATTGTGTCCAACTAAGGTATTTAAACAGCTCAGTATCAAAGTGAAATAGCACAGTGCAACAGGTAGTAGTCAGGACTACTAAACTTCCCGAGGAGATCTTTGTCAATCTACTTGTTGTAACCAAACTACCAAAGAATTTAAGCTCACTTACTCTCATGTTACCTTTCCTTTTGAAGAATTATTATACGCCCCGATATAGCTGGTTGTTGTATGGCTATGTTTGGAAACATGGCACACGATCTTACTAAAATTGTGTACACATCCTTCGAGATATGAAATAGTTCCTACATTCATACAGTTTAGCTTTCACTCTATGTAGGTCCAATACGCCAGTGGACTCACACAAGGTAAAAGTCAAATTCGCCCAACCTGACGTTCTATTTTCCTATTTATCGGTGATGTGTACAAAGTGTATCATTTGTTTCTGTTCCAGTTATCTGTCGGTGATGGCGAGGTGTTCACGTACACGTCTGGGGTGGAGGTGGAGCTCATCGACCAGCTTCGCTTCATGGGGGGCATTGAACTGAAGGAACTCCGTATGAATCAATGATTTATAAAACAGATGTTGTAACGCCGTTGATACCGCTCGTCGAGAACAATACACTGATTTATTCCAAGATGTTATCATTTCTTATTTACTACTTTGAACGCAACGTGTGCTTATATATTCCCTGTTTGTGCCACGTTCCGTTTTGAAGGGCAGTCGAATGGCAGGAGTTGGATTCAACTGATAACAGGATTGCGGCCACAGTAAATATACAGCAGATATAAAGTTAAGACGTTTTTTCCCCACATCCATGTTTACTCAGCACATACGCAATTATGTGAATGTTTCAACCAGGTTGGGGGTCGCATTTTATAGGGCTGGTCCTTGTGAACAGCACGTGCAGCATGAGTTTCATGAAAAACATGGAGAACACCGTACCATCTCCGAGATCAGGTTGGGTTTTTTAGACCATTTCCTGGGTTCCATTCTGAGTTTAGGACGGAATGTCTTTGCTCAGGTAAAGTTGGAGATGTTGTCAAAAATATACAATCAAAACATTAAATGAGTTTACAGTTATCAGTTTCTGCGAAGGAAAATTCCAAACTGACGTTTCTTTTGCTGCTTAGCACATATTGTGTCACACTTGTTTGACTATATCAAGCGCCCTCTGTTTAAGATGCTGAAGTCTGCAAATAAATTACTGTAATTGACATTCATGTTTCCTGCTGTCTTTGTGTTGAATGTATATTGATGGGAATATATCGATTTTGTTGCTTTTGTTGCTAAATGCTTTGGTTATTCGCATCATTTATGGGGCTTAGATTGATCCATTCTGGTGTTGTTGAAACACGATGTACAACTACAGGTAATCACGTATTTCTCCACCATAAGTATAGCATCTGCCATTATTACATATCCTATCTATTGCTTTTGTCATATATCTACAGAAAAAATGTTACAGAAGTCAATTACAACGTAGTTGGAATTAAATATCAATATTTGGCTGTCAGCCACAAAAAGTTTTTCCTTTACTGCTACACATCATTTGTCAACAAATAACAATATCTTATGGAGGATAATGAGTCTTCATTTCCAGGGCAACAACAAAATAAAAGTTATCGTGTGGAATTATCTGGTTATCGACTGGAATTATCTGCTTATCGACTGGAATTATCTGCTTATCGACTGGAATTATCTGGTTTTTGTATGGACATACAATCTCTGTTATCTGTGTACGGCTGCAGACACCATCATCCTGTCTACAGGGGAGTTGCTCCCACTTACTGAGGACCTGTTTCAGCGAGGGCGGATATGTACCCTTAGCTCACTGACGTTGCGTTTGTTTTAAAAAGCATTTGTAACGTTGAATTACTGTATACTTTTTTAGCAATTTGCTTTCAAATATTGGATTAGTTTGCGAGAATGATTATCCGACGTGGGCAGATCGTGTACACGAGTCACATTGGTGGACCTGCTAAAGCTTACACAACACTACTTCAGTTTCAATCCTGTTTACAGAAACACATGAAATTCTGCTTTTCTGCCTCAGAACCGTTTGGGCGGTGGGGTAGTCTGGTGGTTACACGGTTCACCCGACACCCGGAACATCCCGTTCGATTCCCCACATGGGTACAATGTGTGAAACCCATTTCTGGTGTCCCCCGCCGTGATATTGCTGGAATATTGCTAAAAGCGGCGTAAAACTAAAATCCCTCGTTCACTCCGAACCGTTTGCAGTGATTGTAATATTTGCATCTTCAAGTTAATCCCACAAATGCGTCACTATGAACAAGATAATGCCCTGTGCCACATAGTTGTGATAGCAAGTAACTTTTGATAAGTATCCATTTAGAATGTGAACATCAGCACAAATCAGTGGGTGTTATTGAAGGGTAAATATCCAAAAGTGATATGTTTTTAAGTTCTTATATATATATACTGTACAAAGGTTTATGAAATTCCAACACGGCTATCTTCTCGAGTATAATCATAACTTTGATACGTCGATAGATTGGCGTAAAAAAGGTCTAATATAACCATTGCATAAATTAGAGTACCAATCAGGTTACTATGGTTTTACAGGACTGAACAAGATATACCTAATTGCCGTCGTGTCATCTGTGACGACAATATTGATTAGATTTCAAGTTGACATATTACAATCATTATAACAACAGATTCACATGACTCGTTGACAATGCCTGCCTGATTGAGTAGATTTCTTTCATTCAAACACTAGATATCTATAGAAATTAGGAAACTCGAAAATCATTTGTGCTCAGTGACTGTATTACATGTCAAATACAAATGACAACGTGATATAATGTGCGTCGTTGTTTTATAATTGTTCAATGTTTTAAGATTGGTAAGTTTAAAAGCCGATTAAAACACTGAAGAACTGAAGAACATTAAGTAGATATATCTCACGACACGCTACACATAATGATGTTCATATCCTACACCGGAAGCATTACAAGACAATCATAACAAAATGTAGGTAATTGTGTTAAGAATTAATTCGTCCAGTGAAACATGACCACAGCTTGCATCTTGAATTGCCATTTTGTTCTCAAAATAAACTTAGTTTATCTTGTATACTTGTTATGTATTCACGTTATAAAATCATATCATACCAATCAGTCGCAATAGAATCCTGTTTCTGTTTTGTTCACATATAAACAACATACATTGTAACTTTCATTATTTAACCTTATATTCCTCAGCGGTACTTTCAAAAACTGTCAAGAATGGCAGTATGTAGTTTCATCAGATGCCAATAACATTTCCTTCTTTTGTCATAGGCCTTTGCATATATATTTCGTATAGACAATATACAATGTGTAGATAACGTGTAGACAATGGAAAGACGTAACAGTAAGATAAATAACATCCCCGACCATCCGTCCATTGCAAGAATAGTTTATAACGCATGTATTTTGAAGCGCCGATAAAATACTTTTAAAACACATCGTTCACTGCGTCATTGTTGACGGCGGATCTGGCGTAAACTAATGCTAAAACAATCACTGTTGTGGATCTGTTTATATCTTTTTGAAACGTTATTACAAAAACAATACTATTCAGAACGTCTATGTGCTAACAATGTGCATGACTGAGATATATGGTGAAATATACACATCTCGTTGGAATACGTTATTTTCATTCACACTTTCAATGCTTTCTTGGTTTATACTGGCGGTTAACTATTTATATGAAAGCCTGGTCAAGGTCGGAACACACAGCAGAGGCCAAACACTTTAGTTGAGTGACTGGATGAATATTGCATGAGGCCGCAAGTTTGCAGCTGTTCGCGGTGATAAGTGTAACCTTCTTTGTGTGTTTGTTGCTTGCTTTGTTGTTTGAGTTACGCCGCACTCCGCAATATTCCAAATATATGGCTGCGGTCTGTAAATAATCGAGTCTAGACCAGACAATCCAGTGATTGACATCATGAGCATCGATCTACGCAAATGGTATACGATGACCTGTGTCAACCAAGTCAGCGAGCCTGACCACCTGATCCTGTGAGTCGCCTCTTACAACAAACATGGGTTACTGAAGATCAATATTCTAACACGGGCCTTCACACAACAGGTGTTACATGGAGAGTACTGGAAAATAGCTTCTCTTGAACTTTGACATAACCACGTGGTACTTATGTAGATATAACAGGTAGATATAAAATCAGTCTTTAGAACTGATCACATTTGATGATACATCTGCGATGATTACCTGGTTGTCAAGGTAAACGGGCTTCACTTTAACGAATCAGTTCATTGAAATATGCACATTGATTTATACACATTATATAAACATTATATATAAACTTTGACTTTTGATAATGTCAGTATGTTACCTTTACCACAGCAGAGAACATTTTCTAAACCTCCATTTAAGGTGCTTTATGGATAAATCTCTTCGAATAACGAAGTCTAAACGCAAAAAGAACGAAAAACTTTAACTTTATAAAGCAAACATGGAAAAAGAAATGACTTTTTTTACTGCTAATCAATATTCCAGTATAACATTAAAGAGTGCGGTCATTTTCGAGATTCAGGTATACCATCCTCAAAATACAGTGGTACCTAGCCTGTTCGCTTACTGAGGTCTGTTTCTAGTTTAGCAAATAAATCAATCCACGAAGTCAAACCTGGATTTGGATGGCATACTAGATACAGATAATATCACATACATGCAACCTTTTCAATTTGAAAGTATTTCTAGCGGCAAGACCGAGAGGAATATTGAGGACGATTACACCAGTTGACAACATACAGCCGTGGGACGATCCCGATCCCGACTATGACTATGTTTTGAATAGACCTACTGCAGACTGGTATGCAAGTCACTTGCCTATCACATGTTCATGGAAATGTGGTTAGATACTGAATTCATATTTCCGCGGTCACGGTAAAAATTGCAGTCATGATAACGGCCATGTTCGATCAATGTGTTGAGCCTGTCTTCCGGTATACCTCTGTATGGGAAGGTAATCACTGAAATAGTTACGTTCGAGGTTCATGATTTTATGAAGGTTATTAAGTAACTTTCAGCTTTATTTCATAAAATGCGTCTTCTGCTAAATTTATCTGTAAAGGTTTAAGTATGGTGATAATCTTTTCTATGAAATACGTACCGTTACGGAAGTCGATAAGTTCGATCTCACTACTGTATAGAGAAGTACCCTAAATTCGTTAGTGTACGTTTTCGGAGAAGTCGGTGTATCGATCGTCTCTGACATGGTATATCAAACATCAGTTTCATTACATTTTCAATTTCCATACACGTGTAAAGCATCGGTTATATGTCGTGATACGTAGTCATATAAATCTGCAAAATATACGTAAAATGTAAAATGACAAAGACCTGTAACCTCCTTAACAGCTGATAATAGATATAATAAATAAATATAGATGTAAAAAATAGAACTGACAAATCCTTATCTATCTCTTAAACTGTCAGCTAGTAAAAAAGAAAAATTCTTCATTGTGTTCTAGTAGTAATGTGTAAAGTGTGATCAGTCCCAAAGAAAGACCATCGATCAAATCAAGAAACCAGCACACAAAAATTAAAGCAAATATTTTATTTGCATACAAACTATTTATGACAAAATAATGAATACAGTGTGTACACCTACATCATGAAGGCAAAGGCTTGCGTGTAAATTAACTGGATGGACTGGTAAAAGCCTAAGAAAACAAGATTGCTCTCCAATAACACCATGTGACACAGTGGTGACTGCAATTTGGAAACATTTACCATCTGAACAAGTCCCAGGATTCAAACAGGCGAATACAATAGACCTTAAGACATCAGGCACAACTGGTTTCAGTTCACACCCTAGACACATATACATGATTTCATTATATCTTGATGTCTGAGAATTCACCAGTTCCTGTTTACTAGTTATAGATGAAAGTGTCTGGCAGAATATCCTGGAAAAATAGGCTGTTGTGTCCTGCAAGTCTGTAGGAATGAAACATGTTTCTTCTCTCGAGAATGGACTACTGGGTAGGAATTCAACAAACTCTGTGAATAAATTTTACATTGAATTAGAGACATTTTGTAACACAATTTCAGTATATTTTGTTTTGGCAACATAATAATAATTTTCTTTGAAATCTGCACTAAAAAAGTAAGTACTTTTGTCTTAACAAAAGCTGAGAGGGAAAATAGATATGAGGATTAAAAACCAGTGTCTTTGCAAACAAGACTTAGTGTTGACTCATTGGTTTGGGAAAAACATGCAGTAATAGGAACAGTGTTTTGTTTTGTTTTTCAAACTGGAGTGCACCAGTTCAATAAAAGATTATTGATTCAGACACATCATGATTGCGTTATTGTTGATTCAACGCGTGGGCTCGTGCCTTCAGATCACAGTCCGCTGTGTACTCGCCTAGATGAGACTGATAAGAGCATGTGTACATGAATCACTATCAAATAGTGATGTCACCAGGTGTAGAAGGACGAGCATATACGAGCATCTACGTCACAAATAGACGCAAATGCAAATCAATTGTTCACCTGAAAAAAAACTTTTTTGTTTAAATGGCACCGAAGATGGCACCGAAGATCTCTTTGTTTTTGATGCTTCCAATTTGGCAATCTCCTCTACAAGTCAACCATAACAGGTTTTGAAAGCTTTACTGGGACCTACGACCCGTGAGTCATCCAAATGGCTGCTGTTTATGCAGTTCTAAGTAGTTACGATGCATGTATTATTTACACACATATACTACAGTAACTTTATATTTTAAGGCAATGCTAAGCAATATATAGATCTACAGATCGGTGAATGAGCGTCTGTAATCATACTGTCTAATGTATTAATACTCCGACATGTATTTCAGTAAATGCGGTAAGGTATATCTATTCATCTCGTATATTTACTTCCTGGTGTAGGAAACAGGTCACCTGACTGCACAACAAATGCCTAGGAGATAACGTCATACAGATTATACCGAGGGTGTCCCGCAGGTGCTAGGTAGCAACACCAGACATGGCGCTGTCGAAAGGTGAGTTTATACCGAGGGTGTCCCGCAGGTGCTAGGTAGCAACACCAGACATGGTGCTGTCGAAAGGTGAGTTTATACCGAGGGTGTCCCGCAGGTGCTAGGTAGCAACACCAGACATGGCGCTGTCGAAAGGTGAGTTTATACCGTTCACTGTGAACCTCTCCTCGCCCAACCCATGTAACACAGCGTTGTTAATGTAATACTGTGGCACATGAAGATAAGGTAAGTCTACATAATGTCACTCAGTCATACGGGTACGGGTGTGTGTGGCCTGTTAGACACTCAGTCATACGGGTACGGGTGTGTGTGGCCTGTTAGACACCTGTCTTACTCGGGGACGTTCAGTTTATCCCGTGATATTGGACTGTATATACCATACTGATTCTTCATATCACTCCGCACCGCGAGGACATTATCTTGTAAAGCTAAACAAGGAGTTAGTTTGGGCCAGTTGGCAGTCATGGCAAAAACGATTCTTTCTTTACTCATATGTTAAGACGCAGAATACAACAGCAGGCTATGCATGCTCAGAGTGAGACAATGTCAGATTCCAGACAGATTACATACTGGGGATCATTGTCCTTCTTTAAATATGATTCACAATTTACATCCAGTATTTGTTTAGTTGTCAAGGTCTTGATGATATATTCATAATGTAAATATAAAGAACATAAAGAGTTTAAATACAAAATACGGACTGATAGGTGAATCGTCGTATCTGTAATATGGGTTCAGAACATTGAGAGATTACTATGTATGTAACCTGATTGATTCCAACTGCACGAACGTAAATATCTCAACCTTACATGAAATGAGTCATTTCTAAAACATTTAAATGTCCGATATATGTTTCCTAAATCGCGAGGGGCGGTGGGGTAGCCTAGTGGTTAAAGCGTTCGCTCGTCACGCCGAAGACCCGGGTTCTATTCCCGACATGGTATGAAGCCCATTTCTGGTGTCCCCCGCCGTGACATTGCTGATATATTGCTAAAAGCGGCGTAAAACTAAACTCACTCACTGCTAACTCGCGTGTCCATGTCCCCGCATTCTGTCGGTCAGTTACTGTTGTGTCCAGCTGATGTCCATTATATGGTGGGAATGAGATGTTCACTCTATGACGGCTTCTTGGGGTTGATTTCATTATAGCCAAGACACTCAAAGTTTGTTTTAAAAGTTATCATAATGTGTTGTCACATGTGTGCTGCATGTAAAGAAAAGTCTTGTGGAACATGTAACAGCGGCAAGTGACCACCTGGTTATATTCGAGTCAGCTTCATTAGGGAAATTAGAAGTGATGATCCCAAAATACCAAATTCCGTTTTGATCAGTAAGCCTGCGATTCGTTTCCCACCCATAGTCACCAGGTCCTGTCACGTCGAAGGGACGTCAGTTTTTGGGCCACATACCACTGCCTCAAATGACGCCAAAGCAGTGTCACGGGGTAATTTAGAACCACTTTCAACTCAGTTCGCATTGGTTTATTACATGCAGTCAAATATTTATACACGCTGCACCTTTAAGACTAAATTACTTCCCTGCTATCAGATATGTCGAACTATTAGCCTCTGTTAACATGACAATGTAATGTGTTACTGATAACACATTGGTCAAATGAAGCATCACAAATTAAAGGCACGTATTTTCAATTACAATGACAAAATATAGCGAATACAAACCAGGAAGTTAAGTTTTGACGGGACATTTTAAACTTTACGCGTGTCAAGTGACAAGCCGAGATGGGGATTCATTGCATTCACTCTTGTTACAAGAGGAAGTTGAGGGTTCAATTCGAGTTACGACTGAATGTTTTTGTTTCTCCATTCTCGGTTATTCAGTATCAACATGCAGCCATTATAACGATTACCTCACCGTTTTATCAAGATCACACGGGGTAACCGGAGGCCCGGGTTCGATTCCACATATAGATACAATATGTGAAGCCCATTTCTGGTGTCCCCCGCCGTGATATTGCTGGAATATTGCTAAAAGCGGCCTAAAACCATACTCACTCACTCACTCAAGATCACAATAGAATCAATGATAATGCATCAGATATCCTTGGCTATTGTTTCAATCTGAATACGTCTTTGATCAAAGTCGACACAAATTCTTTTTGTTGAGCTGGCTCACGGCAACAAGCTCTTATGGCGACACATATTGCATGGTTCAGTGGTTGTCATTTACAATCTATCACCCTGTTCAACCTGTTTCGTGGTGAAATTAGACAGTCACGGATTTGGGGTACAAAGAATCCAAAAGGCAAAACTGATTCCTTGCTGGATTTTAAGAGACGTATTAGCTTACATTCGCTTCTTCCTTTGAAGCACACCGCTGTGCATGACATGATATAGACTTGAAATCAAACAATTCACCAAGTCCACAGTTATGTAGTATATTTTTCACACAACAAATCGTTCGAACGTTGTCAACAACAGGGGATCCATTAGTCATTAAACTGAAATGTTTGGGAATTTGGGAATTTCCGTTTTTGTTATAATATATTTGCCCAAGTACAACCATGCATATGCATATTTTAGCATACGTGGTTCTCTTTCATATTCACTGTGAAGCATAAGTAAAGGTTTTGAGTAAAGTAGACAGGACTTCTAAAAGTACTCTTTGAATGGGGTTTGTTATTTTCTAATCTCCCGAAAATCCGGGCAGCCATTGTGTCACATGTTGACAACATATAACCAGGAAGCAAGTAAATATGTCACGCTTTGTTTAATAACGATAACACAGCCTTTGTTGCATTCTATATTTTTATTACCTTTGTGAATACCCAAGAAGGTTTCTCAGATATTCTCTGTAAATGTTGAATAAACTAATGCATCGAAAATAGCTGCATCTCTCACTAAACAAGTTTTATGTGTACAGACTACGGATGAGTACAGATGGCAGTTGACCCGTGAAGATCCGGGTTAGAATATTGATCTTCAGTAACCCATGCTTGTCGTAAGAGGCGACTAACGGGATTGGGTGGTCAGGCTCACTGACTCGGCTGACACATGTCATCGGTTCCCAATTGCGCAGATCGATGCTCACGTGGTTGATCACTGGATTGTCTGGTCCAGACTTCATTATTTACAGACCGCCGCCATATAGCTGGAATATTGCTGAGTGCGGCGTCAAACTAAACTCACTCACTCACAGATGGCAGTTACAAAAGGCATATCTTGCTCGTGCCATTTCGGAAAATAATCACAAAACACCAGATGTTTCCCATTTTTGTAAGTCAGTTTATTACCTGCTTATAGTTTTAGCCAACTCATTAACGTGGGATAGTACTGGTACTTGTACACCGAGGAGCGGAGGGGCATTCCTCCTTGTGGTTTGCCTGGCCCAGAGTCGGGTATATACCGCCATGATACATCGGGTTGAGTAATTCTAGTTTGGGCGTTCAGGTGACTCCATGTAACGTTTACCTTACTTTTATTGTTATTATTTCTATTTGAATTTCAAACAGAAAATTTACTTCTTGGAAATTGTGGACAGACTGATTTAATCGTTCCATGCCTGGTCTCAGCACTGTTCATCGAGTCCAGTGGCCATTCCATCCGTGGTGCTGCGCGCTGTGTAGAACTGACCCTAGGTCGGTTGTTATGACCAAAGATGTCTACGACAACCTGTTGCAAGCGGGGCGGTGTGGTAGCCTTGTGGTTAAAGCGTTCGCTCGTCACGCCGAAGACCCGGGTTCCATTCCCCACATGGGTACAATGTGTGAAGCCCATTTCAGGTGTGCCCCGCAGTGATATTGCTGGAATATTGCTAAAAGCGTCGTAAAACTAAACTCACTCACTCTGTTGCAAGCGGCGTTAGGCCAACTCCCTCAAGCACTCACCCAAGCACTCACCCAAGCACTCACCCAAGCACTCACCCAAGCACTCACCCAAGCACTCACCCAAGCACTCACCCAAGCACTCACCCAAGCACTCACCCAAGCACTCACCCAAGCACTCACCCAGGGACTCACCCAAGCACTCACCCAAGCACTCACCCAAGCACTCACCCAAGCACTCACCCAAGCACTCACCCAAGCACTCACCCAAGCACTCACCCAGGGACTCACCCAAGCAACTCACTCAAGGACTTACTCTCATCTTGTATAAACTGCCTGGTGGTTCTGTCAGAAAACATGAAACCCATCAAACAATGACATAATGTGTCCCTGTTCGTTTCTCGATTGTATTGGTAAGATTTGTTTTTGGTCTCTACTAAAGATACATCTAAGTATTAAATATACTTTCGAAAGCACCCTCAACGATCCGTAAACAGTAATTTAAGTGTCTTAATGCATAGAACTCGGTCTCTACGTACTGAATACTCGATAACACATGATAAAGCGATTTGACGGAACATGTATTTAATATTTTACATCAACAAATGGTATTAAACTTACTGAATGTCTAAAATCTATGGACATCGCCTACCAGCTACTCTCACACATCGCCTACCAGCTACTCTCGCACATCGCCTACCAGCTACTCTCACACATCGCCTACCAGCTACTCTCACACATCGACTGCCAGCTACTCTCACACATCGCCTACCAGCTACTCTCACACATCGCCTACCAGCTACTCTCGCACATCGCCTACCAGCTACTCTCACACATCGCCTACCAGCTACTCTCACACATCGACTGCCAGCTACTCTCACACATCGCCTACCAGCTACTCTCACACATCGCCTACCAGCTACTCTCACACATCGCCTACCAGCTACTCTCACACATCGACTGCCAGCTACTCTCACACATCGCCTACCAGCTACTCTCACACATCGACTGCCAGCTACTCTCACACATCGCCTACCAGCTACTCTCACACATCGACTAACTGCACAGCTACTCTCACACATAGACTGCCAGCTACTCTCACACATCGCCTACCAGCTACTCTCGCACATCGCCTACCAGCTACTCTCGCACATCGCCTACCAGCTACTCTCGCACATCGCCTACCAGCTACTCTCGCACATCGCCTACCAGCTACTCTCGCACATCGCCTACCAGCTACTCTCACACATCGACTACCAGCTACTCTCACACATCGACTAACTGCACAGCTACTCTCACACATCGCCTACCAGCTACTCTCACACATCTACTAACTGTACAGCTACATGACTCTGTAACAAGGATGCGTTTACAGCCTCATATACCGACCAAAGAATGAGTGTGTATGTGTTGTTGGGTAAGTTGTGACACAGTTGCCATGTATGTAGAGTTGCTTCCCTTACCAGTGGCAGGATCAGCCTGATCGTTGATTCGAATGGGAGGTTGACACATATGTGACCATTGCCTATTACCACTGTACCCGTTGAATAAGCCAAAGTATTACAAAAATATGCCTTTCTTTGGGTTTTACTCTCACAAAAGGCTGTTTTTTTCTCTGCTACATTTTTCCTGTTTAATGGTCGGCTCCTATGTACCAGAAAGTTCTTCTGTTGATGTGTACTTAAAGAAGTGTGCTTTAAAGTTTCAGGGTCTGAAGAAATGGCGTTCAATCACGACAACCACCCCATGACCTTGCGCCAGTACTACGATACACACTTTATGTCTCTCCCCAGTTTCATCTCCGTCACCCAGGGTTACTATGGAGGCAGAGAGATGGAGGTGCTAGGTAGTGGACAGGTGCGTCTGGACACCTGTTGACAGTTGAACAGTAAATGTGTATTTCGACTATACATAATATTTATTTCGCCTATACAATGTGTGCATTTCGACTATACAATGTGTGTATTTCTCATGCACAATGTGCGTATTTCGCCTATAAAATGTTTTCATTTCGCCTATACAGTGTGTGTATTTCTCATGCACAATGTGTGTATTTCGCCTATAGGTGTGTATTTCTCATGCACAATGTGTGTATTTCGCCTATACAGTGTGTGTATTTCTCATGCACAATGTGTGTATTTCGCCTATACAATATGTGTGTTTCTCATGTACAATGTGTGTATTTCGTCTATACAATGTTTGCATTTCGCCTATACAGTGTGTGTATTTCTCATGCACAATGTGTGTATTTCGCCTATACAATGTGTGTATTTCTCATGCACAATGTGTGTATTTCGTCTATACATAATATTTATTTCGCTTATTCAGAGTGTACATTAGTCCATACAGTGATTTATGTACATGCAGGTACTGCGGATTCATTCGAGTGTTCACCAGAGACGTGCCGTGGCGGTGGATGCCAACAAGAGGACGCTAAGTATCCCCACAAACTATGCTCTGAAATTCCGGGTCATCAACTCCAACAATAAAGGTAATATATACCTTACACCATACACCATGTTGACAGGAAATGCGAGGGTTAATGCAAAATAACAACTAGCATGATGATAAACTTGTGTGGTGTGTCCTGGCTGGTTGTCTACTGCAGTGCGGGTATCCCTGGACACCTATACTGTACACACACTATTTAGCATCCTCACACATACAAATACACTTTCGTTACAACACACCAACACTTTTACACCCGAAGCTATTACGCTTTCAATTAAAATAAAACACAATTTCACACTGTCAGTTTTACAATATTAATAATAACACACATTTATATAAGTTTCAATGCATTTTTAATTTCCAATTACGCTTGTGGTATTACGCACTTTTGCACACTCGAATATACACTATTACACACTCAACATTACGCGTGAACCGTTACGCAAACAAATATAAATTTAGTCCCCTATTATACTTATTGGTCTCTTGTTGTAGAAACTCCTAGATCACTGCAGATAGAGGAGAGATTATACATTCCTGACAACTGAACAGTGTTGAAACGCAATGTCACAAACTTCTACTGTATCTCAACAAATACCATTACAACATTGAATAACTATAACAAAAACAATGTTATTGTACACACCGAACCATTATTGAAACCGAACCATTACACCCATTATTCCACACTGCGTATTCCATATTTAGTCATCATAATGCAGTTGTGTCAACCTCGAATAACTCGAAGTATTTCCGTAGGTTCCTTCAATTTCGACACAGCGGTTTCTGACTGCACTTTACACCTATACTCAAACAGGTATCCGTACACCAATAAACATACACACACACTCGTGTTGCCTACACCTACACTTCTACACTTCTACACTTACAGTAATACACATGTCATACAATTACAGCTATCCAGACATTTATACGTAAACTTCCACAAGGTAAATGGCCGAAACTGCAATTATGGCTGTTGTAATGTGAAAGCCTCTGTTTAGACACATTCGGTGATAACAATAATGACGTTATGTGAATTTTCAATAATCATAATGGTTATTTTAAATGCCTGTATAGTTGTATGCTACTATAGCCTGTTTGCAATGAAAACGTACCGATGAATGTGACCTTAAACCAAAAAACTAAAACAAATAAAGTGAAATTAAGGCTGCGAATCCTCATGATTTTACCTTGCCAATTGAACATTTAAATCTCAGAATTTTATTCGACTTAGGATAAAAGTTGTTTAACAAACGATCATAGTTTCACATGGCTATTATTGGTTTGCATTACAAGGGGGTATGCACATCAAATGAAACACCGAAAACGACAAGGGTTGTTATTTAACGCTCTTCCCGTACAGCACGTGCATTTGTTTCACTGTTCCAACTACTGCGCTTACCCCCCTTGTAATACATACCAGTAATAGCGATTTGAATCTATGAATCTATGATCTATGATCGCTGACGCGAAGCAAGAACATACAGAGTGCACATTTCCCTGTCCAAGCAGGGTCAAGGCAGAACTACACATACTGAACTGTGGGGCAATAGAAAATATACACTTGAAAACTGATTCTTCTGCATATTAAATACTGTGTTCTGTGGCATTACGAACGCTATATCCCGTTAGACGTCACGTCACCAGTTGTGATTCATTTGCATGTAATATCGCCTGTGATACCCATGTCAAACTCACCTTACCATTTCACGATTGTTTCTTATATGCCTACATTATGTACGGATGTGTACTCTCTTTTAAAGGTGGTGAGATACCGAGTAACTAAGGGATGTTAACGTCGTGGGATACCGTGTAGCTAAGGGATGTTAACGTCGTGGGATACTGTGTAAGCCACAGTGTAAATATCATGATATACTTTGCAACCAACATTATGAAAGTAAACAATGAATGCGTTGCGTGTAGATATATACGTCTACCTTTTAGACCATTCCAAGTCATGCATCGTGTACCGTTGTGTTTTTGCTGGTGTATGTCGTGTGTGATATACATCATTAAGATGTACAGTTGTGAAATTGTACTTATGCACCAGCACCTGTACAGCAGATGTATTCACGTGTCAGTGAATGTCGGGTCGGATAGCTGAAGTTGACGTGCACTATGCTCTCTCAGCTAAACTCACTCACTCTCTCAGCTTGATGGTGCAGCTGCATGTGGCATTATCAAAAACTAAGCCGCATGAAGCAGGGCAATGGCCGTCACATAGTTTTACGGGTAATCGAAACTTAGGTTTTTTTCCTCAACGAGTCATCAAGCTTAGATACCCCAGCGCCCCTGTCCCCATGTAATATCAATACAACATAATGTATCAATAATTTAAGTCGTATATTGTAAGTACAACCCGCTCTAAGCAGGCCATGCTTAGTGGGGTTCTCCGTCAACTCCCCAAAATAGCAACAATGCCCCTAGCCGCCGGCATTGCCGAGCGTTGCGCATTTGTTGCTTGTCTGGAGCATAACGCTGCACAAAGGGCTGTCTGTGGAGGGAGGGGTTTCACTGCAGGTTATTTATGAGCTCTGTAATGTCCTCGCATGGCGGTACACGCTGTTGTAGTCAACTGTATTGTGTGTATCGGTTAGCTCAATATCAATGTGGAAAATATAAAAGATATGCTATCTATGACAAAATGACGTTCAAATACGTATTATACCGTAGTCTCTCACATGTATGTTTATTTACACGATGTGTTGCAAAGTTGAATATTTGTTGAAAGTCACCTGTGTGTGACTTGCCATCATAAAATACTGTCTAGAAGTAACTTGTTTTGCTATTTTTTCCAAGGAAAGTGAGGAAGACATACAAACGGTGCATGTTTAGTGATAAACTATGCATATCCCGTGTGAATCCCATTTCAGGTGTCCCTGGTCGTGATACTGCTGGAATATTGCTAACAGCGGTGTCAAACCATACTCACTCATTGTAACTGTTCACACAGACGAATAATGTTGCATTGTTGTAATTCATAGCACCAGATCCAGAAGACTGTTTAAGTGTTATATTTCACACTAAGCATGTCTATAACGCGAAACACAATCCATGGCCTAATCTTTTCCATACTCACCTTCCTTGGGGATACACAACCCAAGCTGCCCAACTGAAGTAAGGAGACCATGTAGCCATATGTTCTTCTTTCTTGTATCCATTCACAGCTAGTCAACAATGCCAACATTACAGCCAGGGCTCATGCTAAACTGCCCAAAACTGTTTGTATAATTTGTATAATTCAATATATATGGTGCATGCAATGTGTGATTTCAACATCTTTCTGCTTGTCAGCTGGCAAGGAGGAGGATGTATTGGCGAACATCCTTAGCAAGAAGCCATTGCCCGTCACAGTCCAGATCTCCGACAGAAGGAACGTTTGCTTCACACTCGACAGCAGCCAGCAGAACGTCCAGGCGTTGGGCCAGCTGACCATCACTGATGTCTACGAGGAGACCTACTTCCTGGCTAATGCCATACTCTATGGTATGTACAGCACAAATTAGCCGTCCTTTACAATGGGCATCTTGTCAAAAAAGGATGTTTCGGATGTGTTTCTCACCGCGCGTATTGTTTGTTTTAAACATATTTTATTGTCCAAAAGACAAAAGACACTTACTGTCGCCTTCTCCCTGTTGTTGATTGGGTAAATTGCGGTTACTATCTGTACTATCTGTGGAAAACAGCCATGGCCCAGTTCAAAAACCTGATCTTAAAGTTACAAAAATGTAATGTAAGCCTATGTCAAAGTATTGGAATGTTTCTATCATCTTTGCACTAACAACATATTACAAACGGAAGATACAGTCTTTTCTCGAGACCAACCATTGCTGTGTCTAGGCAACTCAGGCACGGGATTTGTCACCGACTGCTTCCCATGAATTCATGCACAGCATCTCCTCTTGTCACTTTATAGAACCTTTTGTCACTACTTTCTACCATTACTTCATACACACTGCCCCCTTTGTCACGACAGACCTCTGGCCACCTAATGCCATCAGTCACTTCAAACACAGGTTTTGTCACCTACTTCCTTCACTCACTTCAAACACAGGTTTTTTCACCTACTTCCTTCACTCACTTCAAACACAGGTTTTGTCACCTACTTCCTTCACTCACTGCAAACACAGGTTATGTTACCTACTTCCTTAACTCACTTCAAACACAGGTTTTGTCACCTACTTCCTTCACTCACTTCAAACACAGGTTATGTCACCTACTTCCTTCACTCACTGCAAACACAGGTTTTGTCACCTACTTCCTTCACTTATTTCAAACACAGGTTATGTTACCTACTTCCTTCACTTATTTCAAACACAGGTTTTGTCATCTACTTCCTTCACTCACCTCAAACACAGGTTTTGTCACCTACTTCCTTCACTCATTTCAAACACAGGTTATGTTACCTACTCTCCCCCACTTATTTCAAACACAGGTTTTGTCACCTACTTCCTTCACTCATTTCAAACACAGGTTATGTTACCTACTTCCTTCACTTATTTCAAACACAGGTTTTGTTACCTACTTCCTTCACTCATTTCAAACACAGGTTTTGTCACCTAATTCCTTCACACACTGCAAACACAGGTTTTGTCACCTTCTTCCTTCACTCACCTCAAACACAGGTTTTGTAACCTACTTCCTTCTCTCACTTCAAACACAGGTTTTGTCACCTTCTTCTTTCACTCACCTCAAACACAGGTTTTCTTACCTACTTCCTTCACTCACTTCAAACACAGGTTATGTCACCTACTTCCTTCACTCACTGCAAACACAGGTTTTGTCACCTACTTCCTTCACTCACAGCAAACACAGGTTTTGTCACCTACTTCCTTCACTCACCTCAAGCACAGGTTTTCTCACCTACTTCCTTCACTCACTGCAAACACAGGTTATGTCACCTTCTTCCTCCACTCACTTCAAACACAGGTTATGTCACCTACTTCCTTCACTCACTGCAAACACAGGTTTTGTCACCTACTTCCTTCACTCACTGCAAACACAGGTTTTGTCATCTACTTCCTTCACTCACTGCAAACACAGGTTTTGTCACCTACTTCCTTCACTCACCTCAAGCACAGGTTTTGTCACCTACTTCCTTCACTCACTGCAAACACAGGTTATGTCACCTTCTTCCTTCACTCACTTCAAACACAGGTTATGTCACCTACTTCCTTCACTCACTGCAAACACAGGTTTTGTCACCTACATCCTTCACTCACCTCAAACACAGGTTTTGTCACCTAATTCCTTCACTCACTTCAAACACAGGTTTTGTCACCTGCTTCCTTCACTCACCTCAAACACAGGTTTTGTCACCTACTTCCTTCACTCACTTCAAACACAGGTTATGTCACCTTCTTCTTTCACTCACTGCAAACACAGGTTTTGTCACCTTCTTCCTTCCTTCATTTCAAACACAGGTTTTTGTCACCTACTTCCTTCACTTATTTCAAACACAGGTTATGTTACCTACTTCCTTCACTTTTTTCAAACACAGGTTTTGTCACCTACTTCCTTCATTCATTTCAAACACAGGTTATGTTACCTACTTCCCTCACTTATTTCAAACACAGGTTTTGTTACCTACTTCCTTCACTCATTTCAAACACAGGTTATGTCACCTACTTCCTTCACTTATTTCAAACACAGGTTTTGTTACCTACTTCCTTCACTCACCTCAAACACAGGTTTTGTCACCTACTTCCTTCACACACTGCAAACACAGGTTTTGTCACCTACTTCCTTCACTCACTTCAAACACAGGTTATGTCACCTACTTCCTTCACTCACCTCAAACACAGGTTTTCTTACCTACTTCCTTCACTCATTTCAAACACAGGTTATGTCACCTACTTCCTTCACTCACTTCAAACACAGGTTTTGTCACCTACTTCCTTCACTCACTGCAAACACAGGTTTTGTCACCTACTTCCTTCACTCACTGCAAACACAGGTTTTGTCACCTACTTCCTTCACTCACCTCAAACACAGGTTTTGTCACCTACTTCCTTCACTCACTGCAAACACAGGTTATGTCACCTACTTCCTTCACTCACCTCAAACACAGGTTTTGTCACCTACTTCCTTCTTGCTCACTCACTGCAAACCACAGGTTTTGTCACCTACTTCCTTCACTCACCTCAAACACAGGTTTTGTCACCTACTTCCTTCACTCACTGCAAACACAGGTTATGTCACCTACTTCCTTCACTCACTGCAAACACAGGTTTTGTTACCTACTTCCTTCACTCACCTCAAACACAGGTTTTGTCACCTATTTCCTTCACTCACTGCAAACACAGGTTTTGTCACCTACTTCCTTCACTCACTACAAACACAGGTTATGTCACCTACTTCTTTCACTCACCTCAAACACAGGTTTTGTCACCTACTTCCTTCACTCACCTCAAACAAGGGTTATGTCAACTACTTCCTTCACTCACTTCAAACACAGGTTGTGTCACCTACTTCTTTCACTCACCTCATACACGGGTTTTGTCACCTACTTCTTTCACTCACCTCAAACAAGGGTTATGTCACCTTCTTCCTTCACTCACCTCAAACACAGGTTTTTGTCACCTACTTTTTTCCCTCACCTCAAACACAGCTTATGTCACCTACTTCCTCACTCACTGCAAACACAGGTTTTGTCACCTACTTCCTTCACTCACTTCAAACACAGGTTATGTCACCTACTTCTTTCACTAACTGCAAACACAGGTCTTGTTACCTACTTCCTTCACTCATTTCAAAAACAGGTTATGTCACCTACTTCTTTCACTAACTGCAAACACAGGTCTTGTTACCTACTTCCTTCACTCATTTCAAACACAGGTTTTGTCACCTACTTCCTTCACTCACCTCAAACACAGGTTTTGTCACCTACTTCCTTCACTCACTTCAAACACAGGTTATGTCACCTTCTTCCTTCACTCACTTCAAACACAGGTTATGTCACCTACTTCTTTCACTCACCTCAAACACAGGTTTTCTTACCTACTTCCTTCACTCATTTCAAACACAGGTTATGTCACCTACTTCCTTCACTCACTGCAAACACAGGTTTTGTCACCTACTTCCTTCCCACACTTGGCTTCCACTCACTGCAAACACAGGTTTTGTCACCTACTTCCTTCACTCACCTCAAACACAGGTTTTGTCACCTACTTCTTTCACTCACTGCAAACACAGGTTTTGTCACCTTCTTCCCTTCACTCTCACCTCAAACACAGGTTTTGTCACCTACTTCCTTCACTCACTGCAAACACAGGTTTTGTCACCTACTTCCTTCACTCACTCTCTGCAAACACAGGTTTTGTCACCTACTTCCTCTTCACTCATTTCCTCAAACACAGGTTTTGTCACCTACTCCTTCACACACTGCAAACACAGGTTTTATCCTACTTCTTCCCTCCACTCACCTCAAACACAGGTTTTGTCACCTACTTCCTTCCACTCACTTCAAAACACAGGTTATGTCACCTACTTCTTTCACTCACCTCAAACACAGGGTTTGTTACCTACTTCCTTCACTCATTTCAAAAACAGGTTATGTCACCTACTTCTTTCACTAACTGCAAACACAGGTTTTGTAACCTACTTCCTTCACTCATTTCAAACACAGGTTTTGTCACCTACTTCCTTCACTCACCTCAAACACAGGTTTTGTCACCTACTTCCTTCACTCACTGCAAACACAGGTTATGTCACCTTCTTCCTTCACTCACTTCAAACACAGGTTATGTCACCTACTTCCTTCACTCACTGCAAACACAGGTTTTGTCACCTACTTCCTTCACTCACTGCAAACACAGGTTTTGTCACCTACTTCCTTCACTCACTGCAAACACAGGTTTTGTCACCTACTTCCTTCACTCACCTCAAACACAGGTTTCTTGTCACCTACTTCCTTCTTCACTCACTGCAAACACAGGTTATGTCACATTCTTCCTTCACTCACTTCAAACACAGGTTATGTCACCTACTTCCTTCACTCACTGCAAACACAGGTTTTGTCACCTACATCCTTCACTCACCTCAAACACAGGTTTTGTCACCTAATTCCTTCACTCACTTCAAACACAGGTTTTGTCACCTACTTCCTTCACCTCCACTCACCCTCAAACACAGGTTTTGTCACCTACTTCCTTTCACTCACTTCCAAACACAGGTTATGTCACCTACTTTTCTTCACTCACTCCACTGCAAACACAGGTTTTGCCTCACCTTTCTTCCTTTCACTCCATTTCAAACACAGGTTTTGTCACCTACTCCCTTCACTCACTTCAAACACAGGTTATGTCACCTCTTCTACTTCCTTCTCACACTTTTTTCAAAACAGGTTTTATTCACACCTACTTCCTTCACTCATTTCAAACACAGGTTATGTTACCTACTTCCCCTCACCTATTTCCTCAAACACAGGTTTTGTTACCTACTTCCTTCACTCATTTCAAACACAGGTTATGTCACTACTTCCTTCA